AATTATTTTATTAAAAAATCATTTTATCTTTTAATGTTTTTAAAGATAATTTAGATAAATATACAAATTATCTTTAAATTGTTTTAAATAAATAAAGTAATTAAATTAAATCCTTATTGAGTTAATAATTTTTTTTATCTTAATTGCATAATAGAAGACAATTATTTTATGTCACATATCTTACTCTATCCACATGTCATGCGATTTAAATTCAGAATATTTTACTTTTAACAAAAGATTATATAATCATTAACCTACTTAAATTGTTGACAAATTAATGAATTAATTTAATTAATTATATTAAATTTTTTCTTACTTTTCTTAAATCAAACAAACTATTACAAAATTTTTAAAGTGGGAATTAATAGTGTTAGGTATATAATCTAAAATTTCATATCATAATATCTCTCGTTAAAAGGTTATGACCCGAACCCTATTAAAATTGGATTCATTTTCATTTTAATTTTTTCTTTTTTTTGGCATTGGCACTTACGGACTCTTCATTTGATGGTTTTTTTTTTAATTAAAATTATTTACATCTATTAATTAAAAAAAATTTCGTCAGATTCAAACACATCATCACATAAGATGAACACAATAACCTAAGATTCATAAAACATAACGGGCTATTCCTTCATTTGATGCCTTTAAGCTCGTGAGATATTTATATATATATATACAAAAAATTATTTTACTCGGCATATGCAATTGTTTTATATAAAATTAATATAAAAATAAATTTAAAAATATTTAAATAATTTATAAATCAAACTACATACAATCCCACTTATAAAATAGTTTTTCCATACATATATATATATATATATATATTACATCAAAGGTAAAATAAGGCTAAACTAATAAAAGACTAACGGCGGAGGAAGCGGGCCGCCGTTGATCCCCTGTAAGGATATTCCGTATTCCGTAAGCTTGTGATTGTGATGGTTGGGGTGTAATTGAAATTGTAATGAATTGTTGTTGTTCTAATTGTGATTGTGGCAGTGGATGTATTGAATTATATTGTGTTGTAA